ACAATTTGGTTAAATATTGCTATCGCTGTAGCAGGCAAAGGAGAATCTCACTTGGAGGGGGGGAAACGGAGAATCGGGAAGCAAAACTGCAGGAGATCTTTCGCTTCTGAAAAACTGCATTACCGTGTACAAAATGGCTTATGATGAGGACAGCATAGTACGTCTACCTTAATATTGAATTTTCCTACAAACAGTTTTAAAACGTCTGTCCGTGGAAGTCTGAGTTATATATAACAAACTACCTGTGGCTCCAAGTTAAATGCTGGACCCACAACATATTTTGTCCATGTCAAAACCTCCTGGCTATATTCTACCTCCGCAACAGGTGAACGATATCGTCACAACTTTTCTTAGAGCAAAAGAGAAGCTGTGGCTGCCCCATCCCTGGCAGTGTTCCAGGGCAGGCTGGATGAGGCTTTGGGCAACCTGGTGTAGAAAAAAACTGTCCCTGCCCATGGCAGGGGGGTTGGAACTAGATGATCTTTGAGGTCCCTTCCAACCCCAACCCTAACCGTTCTGTGATTCTATGATTCCATTCTAAATCTACTTACAGCAGATTTGATTTTGAATCCAAGCTTCAAAATCAGCCTCATTCTTGTAGAACGCTTTGCAAGGCACTGCTTGCTGTACGCTGAGCTGAACTGGTTTGTCTCTCAGTGCAAAAGGTTAGGAGACAGCGGCCATGTTAATTCAAAATCCAAAAGCGAAATAACGTGAGACTTGATCTTCTTTAGGAAGACACCAGTGTATCAGCTACTCTGGATGGAGGAGAGGAATCCTTGCATGTTGCTCCTACCTTGGTCTTTAATTCTGTCCTGCTGCGAACCCGCAAGCCCTTTTCGTTCTGTCTTTGCTCACAGTACAGGTATATCCCTGCTCCCAGCATAAGACACTTCTGTGCTGCTTCCCTCTGCCAATCCTACTGGCTTGAGTCACGCGCCATCTGCGTAGCAAGAATCTCCATCAGCACATACCCCAACGGCACTCCCAAACTCAGGTCTTCCAAACAGCTCTGCCCTTAGCAGTTGTGGGAAAACGCTGACTGTTCCAGTCAAAGCTGCAGAATTTCCATTCCCCATCTGCAAGAGAAATTTAAAACTACGAAATACAAAAGACGTGAATATTTTTTCTGACAATATTTATTTGAATGCAAGAGTGAATTTTCATGTAGCTCCGATCACACTTCTTCAGTGTTCACTCTGCATGAATACTTGAGTACTTGAATTTCACAAGTTTTTTAATATTTACAGGAAGTGAATTTGGAGCTTTTCAAGTATTCACTGAAAGCATCTGGGTATTGAACTGCCATTATTAGTTACATATATTATTAGTTACAGATGCCACCTAAGTAGAGAGCAAAACCAACTACAATGGGATTTAGTTTTCATGGGTATTCACAGCATAACCTTTCCAATCAATTTGAAGACACAGTTTATCACAAAAAAAAAAAATCTTCCCATCATCTTTAGTCCTTAGGACATTTGCAAATTTTTCAGTCTGCTCCCAGATGCATTGCTAACAGAATAAAACAGACGAAATGCAGTGGATACACAATTCCTTGCACATTACCAATTTAGTACTATTTGGATGTAAACTCTTGCAGAGTCACTGTGCAAGTTTCCACCCTCACCAAAGCAAGAGCAAAGCATATGCTCACTGCTGGTAGGAGTTCGTGAAGGCTCCTCTTTATGGTTGGATGTGGCTTCTCTCTTTTGTAAAAGGAATTTCATATGCTGAGACTCTTTGTACATATTTATAATGACTTTATTAAAAAAAAGAAAAACAACTGTTCAATGGCAAAAAAAGGCTCCAGTTTTTATTTCCTCTCTGAAATTTAAGCGGATTTTTTTTTTTTTTCTCCACAACCCCATCTGTCTTCCCATGGAAATCAACAGAAGTTTCTCATCGGTTGTCATTAGGAAGTTTCCCCTGTATGTTTTCTGGTCCAAATGTCATGTTCTAGGAGAGGGTAGAATTGTCCTGCCTCACAAAACCAGCACCATAAGATACCCGAGGAGGGAGAGTTTGACAAACTGTTAACAGCACAGAGCTGTTTATTCCACAGTGCCCAGGCCAGTTGGTTTAATTTAACAGCTGTGTAATAGTGGGCTGAAGTAAATTCTTTAATCTTGCATGAATTAAGCTGATCTTTGTTATGCTTCCAGTAGAATAAATATCCTCAGCACAAAATTTCACCTTCCATTTAGCACTACTTAATTTTAACAGAGAAGTGGAGCACTGGATGGCCCAGCGAGTCTCAGGCACCCAAGCCCTCTCAGATACAGGCTCTTCCATAGTGAAGGTCTCAGATACAGATGACAGTGCTGCAGCTTGTCACTGAGCTATCTTTTGAATGGCAACAGCAGCCTTTTGTCTCAAAGGTTAACCAAACAGCAATTTTCTTGGATTTCTATTGAGATAAAGGAGAATCGGAACGGGTTACCAGCACACAGGTGTCAGATACCACTGAAGCACATCATCAGAGGAGCCAGACTTCTGTACAGGGGTCAGAATGCTGCCTTGTAATAGTGACAGAAAGCAAAAATCAAGAAGAAATCACAGAGATGAAGCAAAAGAAAAATTAATCTTAAGAAATTCTATATAAAATTATGATGCCGGCGCAGAGGTTCTTACATTGGTACCAAAAACATCTGAGGTATGTGGTGATTCTTCCACTGTGTGCTGGTGTGAAGTCTTACCGTGTCTTTCTGAGTCCCTGGGCTGCAGCAAAGTGTTTCAAGTATATGATGATGATACTCCCCTTTTTCTTACACTGACAACTGGGAAAGATCATTCAATACAGAAAAAAAAAAAGTAAAGAAAAAGGACTGTAAGAATAGCAAGAAATATTTCCCTTCCTTTCCCTTTGATTGCCTGCCTTCCTTATCACCAAATAAAAACTAGTAATTTCGAAACAGTGTATCAAATGCTATCTGTACTGTTAGGCTCATACTGACCTTTTCAGACACTTCTCCAAATACATTTTCCAGGAGCTTTTAGAAGAAAACTCAGAAGTGGTTTTTCACACACTTTGAAAGCAGATACCACCAACCCTTTAATGAATTGGCATGGCACTGAAAGCTGATGCTGAAACCTTTCATAAATTGCCTGCCCACAGAATCAGTAATTTTCCCTTTTCCTGGAGAACACACCAGACTGTCGTACATAACAATATTTTAAGCCCACTGAAAACCTTGCTTGCTTCCTTACCGAACTGTCTTTTGGTAAGGCTATTCCCATTGGAGATAGCTACTGGATTCTTTGGCTTAGTTCTCCACTTCCATGAGATCCATCTGACAAGAATCAAATCACTGTTTTGAAAAGCAAAGCTTTTCCTCTTCTGCTTCCCTGTATCTCTCAAGCCAGATTTGGACTATCTTCCCTGCTCAGGCTCTGCCTCTCATAATTTCTCCTCTGGCCATACTGAACTATTATTTCCAAAGAAATGTTGAGCCTTAATCCTGTTACCATTACCTCCTGTTTGCTTTAATTCTTCTCCCTGTGGAGTTTCACAGCAGGAGGGGAAGGCGGCAGTCAGTACATACACAGAGGCTCATTTCCCCCAGGTACGCTTCTTCCTGATTATCCACTCAAGTGGGATTGTAACCTTACGGCCATTTCCAGAGTAATGAGCACGGAAGATGCCCCGATTGCCTAATGAGGCTCTTTCTCTGGGCGTGCAGCAAAAAGCAGG